ATTTTTCAACCTTAAAAGTAGATTTTATCCCACAGGTTGGGATTACAATCGGGCTGCTGTCATCGGCATAACTAATCCTATTACTAACTAACAATGTCAGTTAAGTATCAGGCTAAATGGTAAATCTATGCTTGCCTGAATGGGGACATTCCCAAACAACAATGTGATTAGGTACTAACTTGATTCTTCGGGATGGATTTGTCTTACAACCATCATTAATGCCTGCATAACAACCCAGCCATCTTTGGTCGTCTTAGGTAATGTAAGAGATCGTAAATTGTTTCCCAACACATCAGCATCAGCAAGTTTTATGAAAAATGGACAGAAAATTCCTCTGTTTTACGTTACTGCAACTCGTTGCCAAGACGCTCAAGGCCCGGTTTATAATCGCTTTATGGGTGAAATGTGAAATTTAATGTCTCGCTGTGAGACCAATTTATAGAATTAGGCAAAAATTCATCTACTCCTTTTTCATCATATGCTTCATATGATGACACAATTCCAGATTTAATAATGTAGTGGGAAAATAAAATAACCATTTAATGCAACTCACTGCATCAAAGTAGAAGCAAATTTGCCTTTAGAGGAATCTCTAAACTTAAGTTCCTATTTCTGAGCAACTTCTTGTAAATAGGTTGCCCACTCTGAAATTTATGCAAGTCGATGAATTGAATTTACTTCGGATCTTGCTGAAGTTGACGTTAAAACGGTGAAGAGGAGCGTATAATATTGTCTAATCTGGGAATAAAAAGTATTACTTCCATATCGAATTACCCTCAAAATGATGTTGCTGTGTGTTAAGGTGGGAAACGGATAACATTTTACAGGCCCCACAGACAAACACTTACCGAAACCAGTCATTATAGTCGTCATCACGATTGTGTTTCCCCGTAATACAGTTAACCGTGCCAGGTAGGGACAATCGTCTGGAATGGGGAATAACCCAAATCCTGATATTTTCACAATTCCTGATCCTTCTTGCGCCTGCTCTGCCTCGATGCGTGTTGGCTCAGGAACTAGATTTTTAAAAAGTTACATTTTTCATGAATATGCACTGTTTCGTAAACTCAATCAAAATGGATAAAAATTCACGATATTCAGAATGTCTACTAAATACCACCTAATTTGTGAAAATCAGGCTTGACCCGAACCAATGCCAGAAATATAGCGCCACAAAGGTTTCCTTTCTTGCCTCCATTCTAGCTTTAGAATCATTTGTTCATCTTCACACACGGATGTACCATGTACAAATTATGCAGAATGACTGCCCGATTGGCTGAGTCCACACAATGACTCAACATATTTCATTCGACCATTAGTGTACGTTGAAGATAGTCAATTGTTGTTTAAGACTGTATCAATAAGCATAGGTTTTTCACAATCTAGTGCGATATTAACGTGTGAAAAAGCTGAAAATGTTGGCTTTATAGACAAGAAAGAGAATATGCGGCCCTAAAAGATGGATTAACATACGAGTATATCCTGATACTTTTACACCAGATGACTTTTCTCCATCCTTGTAGGTATACACAGTCAGGTCTACTATGGCACACTTGGGAAGATCTCTAATAATTGCAAATTTGGTGCCGATTCCATCCAGTTTGATCTCCGGTTCGGTATACGGGGCTATTCCGATCAGGTAGCCATCTCCTAAGCTGGCGGGAATCCAAGACACCTTGAGGCTCGTGGGTGTGGCTTCTGCAATCATTACATTCGAGGGATCCACAACTTGAATGAGTGGAGTGGGTAGGCAATTTGGGGGAAATAAATAATTTCATTTAGTTGCTTGCCTAAGTGTGATGTCAGTAGAGTTGATTAGAGAATAAGTCATAAATATGGCAGAAATTTAGGCAATTTTAGAGGATAAATAAACAGCCAGACAAAAATATTTTAAAAAGTTACTAGCTGAGTTCGCACTTGATATGCATTTCAATGTTTTTCAATACAAGACTCGAAATTCCAACAATTTTATGGTAAGGGCTAAAGAAATCTGCATTTTAAGCATATCTTTGAGCTTATTTGGAGGCGCAATGAAATCGAGCAGCCATCACTTAATAGGAATATGTATGAAAAACTTATTTTTTAAGAGAATATTTTTAAAAATTCATTTTTTATTGTCAATGACCAATGCCTTACAGTTTTTCTTTATAATTTATAATATTATTATTATTATATAAATATAAATATATAGCGTCATTACAGTTGCTGAGCTCTCCAGTCTTTGTTGTCAAGTTTACTTCGTGATTGTAAATTTAAGAAAATTAATCGAAGGTATAAAGA